GGGCAGGGGCTGGGGAGGAGCAAGACCACGTGATTCAAGCAAAGTGTGAAGTGGTCCCAGGAGAAGGTGAACCACAAGTGACCAGGCAGATGGAGAAGTGAGAACCAGGAGAGAGAAGGGGCAGGCTGGTGCTGGCTGAGAAACCAGCCACTTCTGCTGCCACTGCTGCTGCTTTGCCCTGCGTCTGAGCCCAGAGCTGGCTTCCTCTACTACGCCCTTCCAGCTCCTGCCTCCCCGCTCCCAAGAAGCCAGCTCTTCACGTGGCTTCTGGACCCCATGGCTGGCCTGGCACCTTCTACAGGGCTTGGGGCAGTGTGCGGGCAGCAGGCTCCACATCCCTTGACAAACCTATAAGTCCCTCCACCAGTAACACACCCTAGCATCCCTTACCCCTCCAGACCTGAGTCTGAAGGATTTGCATCTATTTAGGACGTGGGCCACTGTGGCCAGACGTTCATTTATTAATTCAACACATATTTGTTGAGCGCCTACTGCCTGCTACACTCTAGGTGTTGTAGGAACAGTTGACGGCAAGCTGGTACAGCCTCTGCCCTACTGGAGCCGAGTCTGGGTGGGGTGCACATAAAGAAGGGGGCTTCTGTCATTTGATGGCAGAAGTGCTGTTAGAGGGAAGACACAAGATGTGATGGTGGCAGCTTGGAGGGAGCCTCCATGCCCTTGCTATAAACTCTGAAGTGTCTTCCTGGAAGAGGCAGGCTCCAAGCTGAGGCTGAAGAGTGAGTCAGAGTCACAAAATGGAACATAGGTAAAGGGAGGCAGGAAGAGTGTGGGAGGTGGAGGGAACAGCATGGCAAAGCTCAGTGTGAGCATGGAGCCTGTTTACAGAGCTCCAAGTGGCTTAGAATGGTGGTGGTGGTGGGTGGTGGTGGAAGTGGGGAGGAGAATTAGGGGCACAGGGAAGGATCTCTGAAGGGTTTTCAGGGTAATGATCAGATCTGTGCTTCAGCAAAATGTTTCTGTGGTCCCGGTGGAGAGAGTAGATTAGAGGACTGTTGAGAAGCTGCTGCTGTGATACGGGCCAGGAATAGTCGTGGCAGAACCACGACAGAGGCAAGGATGGAGAAATGGGGCTGAGAGCTATTTTTTTTATATATTTATTCTTTTTATTGGAGTCTCACTATGTTGCCCTGGCTGGTCTCAAACTTCTGGGCTCAAGCCATCTGTCTGCCTCGGCCTCCCAAAGTGCTGGGATTACTGGTGTGAGCTACCACACCCAGCTAATTTTTAAATATTTTTTGTAGAGATGGGGTCTTGCTCTGTTGCCCAGGCTGATCGCAAACTACTGGACTCAAGCGGTACTCCCACCTTGGCTTCCCAAGGTTCTGGGCTTACCGATGTGAGCCACTGCCCCTGGCCCTCTGAGAGCTAGTTAGAAGGGAGAATCCTCAGGTCTTGGTGACTAACAAGAGGAGAAGGTGAGGGGAGAGAGGAGTCAAGGAGGGATCACAGTGTCCTGTCTTGGGCAACTGGGCAGGTGACGGAGGCCTCAGAAGAATCAGGCCAGTCTGTTTTTTTGTGATGGAGTCTTGTTCTGTTGCCAGTCTGGAGTGCAGTGGTGCCATCTCAGCTCACTGTAACCTTCAACTCCTGCGTTTAAGCCATTCTCCTGCCTCAGCCTCCCAAGTAGCTGGGACTACAGGCACACACCACCACACCCAGCTAATTTTTGTATTTTTAGTAGAGACATGGTTTCACCATGTTGGCCTGGATAGTATCGATCTCCTGGACTCGTGATCCTCCCGCTTTGGCCCCCCAAAGTGCCGGGATTACAGGCGTCAGCCACTGTGCCCAGCCAAATCAGGCCAGTCTTTGAGTGGAGAAGGGAGGGCAGGGTTATGGGGAATTTGTTTTGGGGCCCATGCCTCTCATTGACCACACCCTGCAGACATGCAGGTCTGGAGTTCAGGGAGGAAGTGGGTCTGGAGGGAGACTGAGGAATGGACGTCAGCCTGCAGGTGGAAACCAGGGCACAGTGGGCAGACATGATCACAGTGAGAGGAGGGCAGCAACAGACCCGGGGACTGCAGCGTTTAAGGATGCTAAGGGAGCCTACAGGGAGCTGCGAAGGAGCTGAGGAGAGCTGGGAAGAGCAGCAGGAAAATGAGGCACGGCATATTCCAGAAGAGAGGACCCTCAACAGGGTCAGATACCTTAGGGTAAGCAGGAGGCCTGAAGGGTTCTGCTGTCCTTGGGCTGAGGCTCTTAGCTTCTTAGGCACCTACTCTGTGTCTCAGGGGAGAATCTTGGTGACTGACTGGAGAGGAGAAGGTGGGGGGAGAGAGGAGTCAAGGAGGACACCCAGTTTCCTATCTTGAGCAACTGGGT